CACAGGTGCGCCGCGCGCCGCTCGTCCCCGGCCGGCTGCGGGCGCCGCGGCGTCTCTTCGGCGCAGCAGCGACCAAAAGTTGGGAGGTCGCGAGGATGGAATCGCCATAACCGTTTTAGAGTCGGTGCGCGGTCGAGGCGCGGCCGAGGGGCCGAGGCGGTGTCTCCATGTGAGTCCCACTGTCAAGTGGCGACCCGACGGCGAGGGGGGAGGGAGGGGGTGAGCTGGCTGAGCCGGGGGCAGAAGGCGAATCTCATACATGCATTATAAACAGAACGCAAAATGAGATGTTTTATTTATTCCGAGAGGACGCCGGGAGTGGGCAAAAGAACAAAGGGGAGACATCGCGCGCCGGCCGGCCCCGTAGCCACGGTGGCGAGCGGTGAGCCCAGAGAGGGGGCCGGAGAGGGGCGGATGTCACCGAGAGTCACAGTGTGACGCCCCTTCTCCCCCTGTAAAGGGTGAGCAAGGGGTTTAATATGTAATTATCACCCTGCTGCATATGTTCTCCACCAGCAGAGCAGCGTCCCCCGGAATAGCGTAGGCCGGCTTCAGCAAACGAAGACCAGATGGAGCGAACTTTAACCGTGAACAATTCGGACTCAATGTCGAGCCCCGCCCGGCGCCGCCCCTGCTCCGACCGTGAGGGAGGCCACCTTGGAGATGGCCGCGAAGGACTCTCCTCGCTCGTCTTCGTTTGCTTGCACAGGGGAGGAAGAAAAAAAGTAAAGAAAGAGAAGATAGAGGGAAAGGGTGAGGGGGTGGGAGAGAGAAGGTGAGAGAGGGAGGGAGGCAATATGAGGCCAGGGGGGAGAGAGATGAGAAGACTGTAAGATGAGTGCATGAGTATGTGAGTATATGTTTTGCATGTGAGGGCGCCTGCCTCTCCAGCGGCTCCCGTGAAAGTAGCGCCGCCGCCGCGCCCCTGTGAGAGTGTGAGTGTGTGTGTGTGTGTGCGCGCAGATAGGGGGAGCCGGTGTCGCGAGGACAGCCAATGAGCGCCTAGTCTCTCCCTCCCACCCTAACACATACTAACACACTCACACACGTTTGCCTATCAATGCGGCCAAGCAAAAATCGATATTCCTTGAGATGGTCTACTTCTCCTCCTTCTTCATCCGCTCGCTCGCTCTCTCTCGCTCTCTCCTTCCTTCCACCCTCCGCTGTGAGCGTCGCGCCCGCGCCTCCCCCTCCCCCATCCCATTTGCAAATAAATGATGTATATGTATGTGTACACACACGGGGGAGAGGGGCGCGGCG